TTGGCTATGGAACTGAAAGATTTCAAGCTGGTTAGAGTTATAGACATCTCATTACTGATTTGTCAAAGAATCTTTCAGCTTTACCATTTTAGGGATTGAACATATGTGAGAAAGATTCTTTTTCATTTTTATACTTTGAAAACTTTGGAAGCTAAATCGTTTCGGTGAGTTTATTTTCCAAGGACAGCTCAAATAGAAGCAAGAAAGAGAAATTCCACTCAGCATGTTGAAAGTCCTATACTTTAAGGAGCCTGTTGAAATTTGCTTAGACAGGAAATGAAATCTTAGTGATCAGATATATCAAGTGAGGAACTCTTAACCGATGGAGGAGTTTGCAGGAAGGAAAGGGTCAAAGGTTTTAGCTTTGTCGCCAGATCTGTTGGGAATACAAGTGTCCTCGCTTACTAAGTGAGATAGGTCATTCACAATAGCTTTGGCATTTTAAATGAGGTAACAAACTAAAGAGTCATTGGGCTTGCTTTTAGTTTCAGTGAAAACAAAATACATGGGGGTTGTAGCTTTAAAATAAGGAACAAACTATGGTTGGAAGAAAGTCCATGGATATTGCAGAAGAAAATTTAAAAGATTGAAAATGATTACGATGCTGATATTAACAGTACTTGAATTCATCAAATAATTTGCATGATGCCATCCGAAAGCAGCAACAATACCTAGAGTGTAAATAACGGCATATTTTGAATAAATGCAACCTAGAAACGCTACATGTAACTAATGAAAATGTTAACAGAAACGTCCTCAACTCTCGGTGCTTCTTCAAGGAGCGAGACGGGAAGTTGTGGGTTTGTGAGGACCTGAATCCTGACGTCGATTTCGAGGTCAGTTGATATAGATTTCCTTGTGAAAAAAAGAGAATAGGTCCAATGACAAGAGTAAAAGATAATCATAGAACAGTAATGTTGAATTTGCTCGATGAAGAGTTTTATGACTGTGAGCATTATATTTGGAAAAGGGTCTGTGTCATATTTATAATGTTTTAGATTATGAAGGCTTTGAACTAAAAAAAAAAGGAATTTTTGGTTTTAGAAAAGAATCTGATTAACTTTTAAAAGGAATCGTATTTATGGGGCCTCTGATTAATTTCGATTTGACAGACTATAATAACCATAGGGTCACCCGAAATCATACCTTAGTATTCTATAAAATAAAAATGAATCCTATAAAAAAATCACTGATTGTGGACGGAGGAAAATTAAAGAGAAAAGTGAGAGAAGTCTGTGCATATTAATCAGCCCCTCCTTGCATTGCAGTATTTGGAAGGCGCGGAGAGCAGTGCCATCATAAACGAACACATAAACAAGCCTTTCAGAGGCGATCGTTCGCCAACCTGGAAAGCGAGACTGGTTCCCGTGCCCGCCGATGCCCCCTGCGCCATGCCCGAAATACAGGCAGCTTTCCCCCACCAGTACGACCTCGTCTTCATGCCCCACCACTCATTCATGGACGGGCTCACCGTGGCTCATGCCACCGGCAAACTTGTGGGACTGCTGAACGACCTCATAGCCGGACGACCCGTAAACGACGAGCCCTTTGGGGTCTACCTGAACAATGAGGAAATTGGCAAGATTGATGAAGGGATCGCCAAGGACCTCGAGAAGGAACCCGAGAAGCTGGAGTCAGCAAAGCAAGAGCTCCTGGCATGTGACACCCCGCCCATCCTCTGCAAGGCCTTCCCGCCCCCTGGAGGGAAACCGGCAACCAAATTTGTCTATGAGATTATCAATCAGAAATCCTTGGCTTCCTTCACGGCGAAGTGCAAAGCCAATGGCGTCACCTTCAACAGCGGACTGGAGGCTGTGATCAATACCGCTATTATTGAGATGGTGCGGGAGGCGGGCGTGGAGGGGGAGTCTCACCACATGAGCATCCATTTGGCTACGGATCTGAGACGCTACATGAAGCGCCGCCCCCTCCTAATATATGGCGTGCATGTGCGTCCTACTGTGCACAGGATAGAGACGCCTTTCGATGTTCGGGACGACTTCTGGGACTACACCAGGAAGCTCCATCAGAGGCTCTCCATTCTTCTGAAGTCCGGCGAAGCCCTTCAGCAGACCGTAGTGAGGGAGATGACCTTGCCGGAGCTCTCTCCAGTGGAATACCACGCAGCAGGACCCAAACCCCTGCGTGAATATGGCCTCACTAACGTTGGGGATCTAACGCCCATTATGCCAGGCGTCGGGGAACACCTCCAGCAGACAAACGTTTCCATCTTTGGTAGTGCACACTTCTTTGGGTTTCCGATGTTTCATCAAACCTGCGCCTTCCGAGGACATATGCCCTACACAATTGGCTACGACACGTCCTACATAGCAAAGGAGACTGCTGGAGCACTAATGGACAGGATTGTGACGCTTATGCACGATCTTGGGACATCGCCCTAAGAAGCTAGAAAAGAGGGGGTTCAGAAACAGGTGTGACCAGACTGGAAACTTTATTTGTGTATACCCTCTTTCCTCCACACTTTTCTTAGAGAAACGGT